GTGGTAAAAGGTTAAATCTCAACTCACAAATTTTTTTTTTTTAAATGAAAAACGTTTAGTGCTATAATAATATGTTGGTTGGCCTGTAAAAATGAAGCACACATACTTGCTGCTTGTGTAAAGTCACCAAAGGAACATTTTAGTTAAGAATATCGTCCCCAAGATAATTGGGTCACTTTTAAGAACAAGGGGGCTATCTCGAAAAATGCTGTCTTGAGAAAATCGAAGGTAAAGTTTTTGGACCCTCGTTCAGTTTCTTTAAAAGACAAGGAGAGTTTTCTCTATAACCAAACAAATATACACACCAATGAAACCAAACTTCTCAATAGGTAGGGCAACGCCCACTTTTGATGTAGGTCGTGAAGTTCCGAAATGGTAGGCACAGTCTCTGCTTAGGTGACATTGTTAGTATTAGCCTATTCTATCAGGCCAAGACAAGTGTCGAGAGGAGCTAAGTGGGAAGACAGTAGAGTGGCAGGTATGTTCGGGGTATTCGTACGCGGGTTGTAGGTAACAAATTGGCAAATAAATTATGAAATTAAAAAAATGCAGCATTCTACTTCCTGATCATTTACCCTTAGTATTCTTTTCGAGTCCTATTAAATTTGCGGGGATTTTAACACATTAGAATTATTATATATAATATGATAAGGTAAAATACGATCAGATGAAATGAGATGAGATAAGATGAGATGAGATAAGATAAGATAAGATAAGATAAGATAAGATAAGATAAGATAAGATAAGATAAGATAAGATAAGATAAGATAAAGTAAGATAAGATAACATAAAACAAGCTTAGATAAGAAACGATAAGATAAGATAACCCCAATCGAGAGGACACATGGTCAAGTAAACAAAACCAATACATTTGAACTATGATACCCTAGACAGGCAGCCATGATAGAGCATGGTCTAGGTGTACAAATCTATGAGAACATCTCACTTGTAGACATTGTTGTGGTACTTATTGTAGCTCCCTAAGGCCACGCCCGTGCCCAGCCCGATGCCGTAGGAGAAGAGGATCTGGGAGGCCGCGTCCACCCACACCTGGGGAACAGAGAACAAGAGAAGTGGTCATGTTAAAAAACAGGATAAAAGTATCCTGTAACAGTAGTAATAGTTGAAAGTATCAGGGTACTACCCACTGACTTACACTAGTAAAGTATAGTAAAGTTGTTCCCGCGTCCTTGTTAGGCTGAAAATGTACTGCCACGCACATCTGAAGTGCGCGGCGAAAAAAGCCGTGCCCTCCTCTTTATTTCATATCGGTGATTTCACTGACACGACTAGACGTGAGGAGTCGTGAGGACTCAAAAAGACGTGCGTGAGTGCAGCACTTCTGCTAGCCTTACGGATAGGCTCGCCCTGATATAAAGGGGGGACCGACCACTGAGCTGTTTTTGCCTGCCCAGCGCCATTTTTTTACACAGTCGGACGGAGTCGCGCTGACCTATGTGATCACCACTTCTGACCTAGCTGCTCGTCTGTTTCGCTGTAGGACTGGGCTATGAGTCGCTTTAGCAAAATCCGGATAATATGTTAGTGCACCTCTTCAGCAAATAGTATGATATAAATTGCTTCGTCAAATGGGTCAGAACCACTTCAACTAATGGGTGCACCCACTTCGGCAAACGGGTCAGGAAAGACAGTCAGTTAAGAATCTGAATTCGGATAATGTTTCATTGAGAATTATCCGGTTATCCTACAGATTATCCGGATTTTGCCCACCTCTATTTCGCTGTGCACATCAGTTGTGCGTGGCAGCAGATTTTCAGTCTTAGTAAGACAACTTTCAGGGCCTTCGGTATGTTGTGGTAGGGTGGCCAGTTCTTTTCCACGCCACCTTTACTTTCCCAACTCGAAGTCAGGTACCCATTACTGTTGGGTGGGCAGGAGGGGGGGGGGGA